TTGAAAGAGGGTCGCGGAGGTGAGGATTCTTTCGAAGAATGAAGTATGTATGTGTTCATTCCAAGCGTGATAATCTCTGATATGTCTGCAGCACACTGTGAAGGATTCTCAAAATGAAAGCACATTTTGCGCCAGGGAAACTCGGGAAAAATTATGCTCAGACCATCCCAGTCTCCTGAATTATAATGCCATACAAGACGTGAGGGTGCTGAAGCAGTTGCTGGGAGGTTGTGACGATGAGTGTGTGGTCAGAATCAGCAGTGGAGCTCGAAAATCCATAGAGTATGGTGCTGAATTATTGGTGAGAAATAAGTCAAGTACATTGGCTGAATGATATTGACATCGAGAATTCGTTTGGGTTCCTTGATAAGCCGTGAGTAATGACGAAAGCTTCAGCTTGTTGATTATCTTCATTCGTTTTCTTGTAATGTACGACTCAATGTTGAATCACGTCAAGAACCCGAAGTGATTTTCATAGGATGAATTATTTGGTGATAAGTACAGACAACAGAGATTTTTTGTTTGTTTCTGGCTATCGAGTTTGAACAACGTGATATCAATTTCATTTTATCTCTTCACAAAGCTCTTCCTAGATGAAACGAGAGATTTGGTTCAGAATATAGGCAGATACCCCGTCTGAACCTGAAATGTGTTTGGAGTTTATACCCAGGACGAAGAATATAGGTCGTGTTGATGATTGAATGGATCCGCGTTTCATTCAGTTTCATCACAGTCTATCTGAAGGTTTTAGAAAAAATAATTATCAGAGTATAAATTCAGATACCCCTCGAATTCCACAGACATTTTCTGAAATGAGAAACCATTTTTTCATCACGACAGATCATAGTAGTCTGATGTTGGAAAATGAGGTGCGCATATCACTCAACTCCCTGCGAGTAAAATGAAGTAGTGGGCCTCTACGATGTATAACCATGTACAGATCACTACACCTTAGTGGAATTGCTGAGACAGGCCATCAGGACGATATCAATTTTGACTAGCAAGATTTTCTAACGTGATTTGAAATGTAACTATCATCATTCGATATTTCTAGTGCACACTATCTGAACTTGGGTGCTAGGAAATTCCTCGGTACTTCTTTTTGGATCTGAGACTAAACAAATAACAGCTGTCTAAAGAATTGAAATTTACGTGAACCATATTATGAAACTACCGACTGACAAAAATGCAAACATTTCGAGTTGTGTTTCTACTCTGTGGGGTCCAACAAACACATATGTTTTCAGTTCCAAAGCTCCCTCGATACTCTTGAAGAACTCTTATTTCAGCGTGACGTCTCACCAGCACAGACTGGAATTACTTTTCTCATTTCAATCTGACGTGAGGAAACTGCGATCAGAACAACTACTTGTGCATATTTCACGAGTATAAATTATTTTACACGGAATGAGAATTTTTTATCAACGTAGGTCCTGATAGAGATTCTTCATGGGATACCTACTGGACAATTATCTCAATTCTCTCGCTATATGCAAATGAACAGGAAAATATCAAGATACGTAGTTGAAAATATAGTATCAGTGATACTTCCTGATATCGCGACAATTTTTACTTTCGAGCATGTTGAATATGCTAAGACTCTGTGCCAAGAACTTATTCGTCCGATCATCATTAAGGAACGTAACTACGTCTCTGGATTGAAAAATCGATCATGAATGTTACACATTACTTCATTTATCAACGTGAAACATTTTTTTTTGCCCATTTGAAATCAAAAAGTGATTGGAATCATGATTCATCATGGCATTTTTCATAAATAAGTACGACGGCCTTTATCTCAGACAAATTGCATTTCAGGATATACATTGAGAAGGAATATTCTCAGATATATTTATGAAAACAAAAGAAGGATATTGTATAAATATAAAGAAATAACAAACAGGAAACAACTAATTTCCTGGCTATATGCCACGACGAATATTGAATTATATCTATTGAACATACACGATGAGAATTTGCAAATAAAATCTTCTGAAGAAGAGAATTTGCATTCTCCTCCACATAACGATATGCACATAATATCATTCTGAATATTCAATAAAGAACAGATGAGGAATCAGAAGATATAGTTTTTAGATCTGATTCGATAGATCATAGATGATCTTGATCTCATAAAATTTGATTGATCTGTCATCTGCAATCCAAATGAACTGAGCATAACTGATCAGTGGAATTTTCCTGGATAATGTCCGTAACTTCCAAGGACTTCTCGATCTTTTTCAGTTCTCGCTTAGAAGTTTATCTGATTAATCCTTGTAAGAAAATGATGATATCGGGATTGTTGGGGACTATGCCCTTCTGTGCCTTTTCAGTGAGAGTGATAGAACGGGCTGTGGACTGTATATCGTGCTGGAGTTCTGCTCAAGGTTTCAATAGTGGGGTGAAGGAGTACTTGATATTCATTTCAGAGAATATACAACAAAAAACACATTTTATATAAAGTTATGGTCTATATGACATTTCCTATTATTTCGACAGGTATTGATTAATAATTTATTCCTATGGAAGAATTGCAAAATCGACAAAACGCACTGCAAAGGCAATTAGATGAGGAAGCATGGCTCAACAGAGTTGGATTGGAAACAACATTGAAGAATGAGGAGAAGACTGTTCAAATGCCACTCAATCATTTGATAAAAAAATTTCAACAACCAGATAACTTCTTTTAACGCCATTGTTATTTCGACATTTCCAGTAGTTCGATTGTTGAAGCTTATTTTCAATTATTGCTTCGAAACTTCAACTCAAGCTATGCTTCACTATATTCAGTAGTAATACTATAAGTACATTAAAAGATAGATAGTTTAATTGATCCGAATACGAGCTTATGAAGATATAGGACAGGTCAGCACAAAGTTCATGTATAAATAAAATGTTTCTTAAAAGTCAGCAAACGATAGAAAAGTAGATCAAAAGAAAAAATCTGAACAATAATTGATCGATGATAAATTTCAGGTAAAATATTCTCCATAACATACCTTGTTTTATAATTATTACAAGGAGTACAATTTTTGTGCAGGAAGTTTGAGATGAAGATTCTGAAGTTCGAATCGTATTCGATGCGACTATTTTTTTTTTGGAGTAGTCGGAACGAACGTCGAAATTTCAGAATGTGCTTTGTTTGTATGTAACAATATGAATCAGTTACTATGGAAATGGATATAATTCTGAATTTCTGATTGGTGGAGCTACTTTATGTATTTCCACGTATATACTCGGAATTACACAAGCTAGCTCATTTTAACGCTCTGATTGGTTTAAAATCATTCGGAGAAAATAGTCGAGCAAATTTTCGGAATCACAGTAATATTCATTACTCCGATCATGTTGACTTAATAATAACTATTCACAATGAGTATACTGAAATAACGAATGACTGCAATAAAATAACTCGTATGTTCTAAACTTAAAAATTATGGTAATTAAATGAAATACACTTTCGACCGCATATCCGGTACATATTGATATTCCACAGGATGACATGTGTATGATAAATCCATCCTACATATTTCCAGATAAAAAAAAATATTATTGGATAATTGCACAATTGAATAATTGTAGCTTACAATAGAAATTCGCAGAGACCCATATTCATTTTATTTTTAAAGGTACGGTTGTGATTTGTCCAATATGAGACATTATTTTCCCCATCAAATCAAATATATCTGTAGTTTTATTCGTCCTCTCAAATCATTCTTGCAGAGCAAATTTCCAGCTGCCGAGTACCATGCATCTCCTCGATTCTTGGAATTTACAGTTTTGGAATATCACGAATCAAGGGCGGCTCGGTGGTCGAGAGCGTGTATGCGCTGAGTTCGTATGGGGACTCCCACCGAGACATAGGTTCGAATCCTAGTTAGGCCATGGATGTTTGTTTCTGTATGCTTACCTATCTCCGCACAAGTTTCGACTTATGGGGCGTTTGGTCCCAGTGCTGGGACCAACGAGGTGATGCAATTGAAAAAAAAAAAGAAATTGAGTGTGGACAAATTGAAGTGTGGATAGGCATATTCAGTAGCTGTACATGTAGGAAAGGAATTGAATTCAATCGATTGAAATCAAAAATTCAAGAAACGTTGTTTCCGTTGCGTTTGTATTTTCAGTGAAAACTGCATTAAGCCTTTGTCAGTTGGTTCGGACAAGATCCACAGTATTTCTGTGAAAAATGTAAATAAATAGAAAAGTGTTTCTTTTTTGATTTGAAAAAAAATAAGTCATTTCTCATCAGTGCATCGCCTCACTGTTTTTTGGTCGCATACGAGGTATGTCAAAGAATATTGATTTTCGTCAGGAGTATAGTATTTTTATTCTCGACAATATTGAGAATTGTTATAAAGAAAAGTTACTTCATTTCGAAACCTGGGTTGAAGAAATTTATTATATCCATCTACAATGAAAATGTGGTTTTATTATGTTTCACAATTTCTCCAAGACCGATCCATATGAAAACTTCTTTAATTGCTAATTGTAGGAAAGAGAAGTCATTCTGCACAAAATCTTCTGCAACGCCTGAAGTCAGGACTACCAATGTCGGATATCAATTTTCTTAAATGGTATACGAGATATGACGAAAATATTGATTTTGCGCAAGTGTCCCAGATATTTCACTTCTCGTTTTCATTCAAGGTCTGCTTCGTCAAATAGGAAATTATTTGAGAAATGAACCTCCGTGTTTCTAGAGAAAACACCGATAGACACTATCTTCTGGTAGTCTTCTCTATAAGATTGTAGAGTGTACTAAAACCCAACTATTAGATAACTTCACAAAGTCCATCTTATTTCTAATTCGACTTATTGACGGTTTTCATGATTTGGCCGGTATAATATGACTCAACCCATGTACCAAAATTCCCTTACGAAAGCAATCGAAAGCATTTAACGAAGCAAACAAAATTCTTGAAAAATCACTACTGTCTTTCATCTTTCTTATCATTTATTGTTGTTATTTAATGTTTCAGATTCCACCTTCTGAAACAAGAATGCAGTTCCTCCAACTTTCTCTGTTGGTTGTGCTCGCACTGCTTGTAACGGACAGCTATGCAGAAAAAATAGTAAGTTTCATTATGTTATTGGTCTTATATTAAAACCTAGTTGGTTTATTTTTCGAAATTCGGACTTTACCCAAATTTTGTATCGATAATGTAAACAGGCAGATTTCAGCATATTCCAAAGAAGGTATCCCTTTTCTAGAGCTGATGCTATCATCGCGATCCCAGTATTTGTAAGATGAAATTTGGATTCACAATCAAAATTTGAGGTTTTGTATCAATCCTTGTCTTCAAATTACAAATCCACAACAGTTTAAACTAGATGGACTTTCAACGCTGTATATCTATACCGATTGAATTCTAAAGTTTCACACCGAGGAAAATTTAATCAACTTTATGTCAGAAATCGAATCATCTGGGCAAGAAACTCTGATAGCATAGGAAACTAACAAGTTCTCTTCATCTGTGTTTCAAAGTCGACTCTGCTGATAATAATTCAGATTATTTAAAATTGAAGCTCGCTGCCGTTATCGAATGCGTCTGTATAATGGTTATTATTATAATAGCAATTAAACAATGTTTCTGTAGTAGGTATCTGACTGCTACCGCTAGTGAGCGCATCTAATAATGGTAGTGAGGCAATCTCAGAATCATATGATATTCATGAAGGATATAAAATTTTTAATATTATGAATTCATACTCATGAAGCAAGAAATGCATTTATTAATAATATATGTGTCATAATTCCACTGGGTGATACATATAATGTACTGTAAGGGCCTTTCTTTCTGAGTCCTTTTCTTTGGCATTGTTTGGACAAAGACTCTAGGGTACCTATGTCGGATTATTGAGGCAAATTTCTCATGAAAGTGATTGATTTCGCGAACTTCTACAAACTGAGTTTGTGTGCAACAGTGAATGAAGGCAAAGGAGGTGCTTACAGAAAACCAGGGTTCATTGTTTTCAATCAGAATTGGATCAATTACAAACCCTGAGTTTGACATGGTTGCTTGAAATATATTGTTTTTTGATCGCTGTTCTTCAAGTTTACTACTGAGGAGAAACCGAAACCAAAACAAATTTCTGTCGGAAATAGTCACTAGTGTTTTCATTTTAGGTCTGCAAAATATATAATCCAAACTAATTCCTTAACTTCAACTGGAGAATCATCAAGAATACGGTCTCAAACACGGAAACAGATTTGATTCATATCAACTAGCTTTTCGGTTTTTCGATAGAGGAATTGATACAGTTAATTAACTTCACATGAATATAAAATTTTCACGAATACCGAATACAGAGCTTATGAACACAGGCCAGGAATGTCTAAGAACATACGTAGCGACGGTGTTCTATGCTTCTGAGACAAAAAAGGTCGGGTGTATTCATCAATTTCAACAATAACAATAACTCGACAAATAAAAATATTGAGAATATCGAAAATATTGAATATACAAAAGAAAACTAATATCCAATCAGAAAACAAAAAATATATTTTCAGAACATGTAGTCACTATACAGGTCTGGTACACATGGGGTATGAGAAAGTAACAAAAATGCAATGAATCTATATACAGGGTGAAAGTGTGACGAATAAACAGTGTGGTCATTTAAGTGTGCAACATATGGGAATTTGTTTGATGAATTGCACAACCAAAATACCAGATAGTGCCGAGAGTTTGTGCATGTTCAGTGATCATTTTAGATGCACTCAAAATGGTCACAAGTCAAACAGTATACAGGGTAGGTCAAAAAATTTAAAAATGGCTCAAGAGTAAAGTACCCTAATTTCAGAAAATTCTGCGAAGTGTTAATGGGAAAAATCGTTATAATTAGAAGTTATATCGAAATACCAAAATATGGCCTCCTGAGACATACTTGAGTTTAAAAGTTTTTTTCGTTTATAATATTCCAGTTTGTATTTTTTTCATATTTGCCCTAAACACTGCCATACCTTTGTACAAATTCAAGCATATTTGTGCAATTTACTTGGATTCTAATTTTTTTGTTGCAAAGATATTCAGCTTAACTTGATGATTTCGCACACCATATGTTCAGCAAGGTAAAACATCTTCAATAATAATTTGCGAATAATTAAAAAACTCTCATTTAATGTGAACATTTTGTATTTGAAATGTTCATGAAAAAGCTGTACAAATCAATTGACAACCATGATATCATTCAAAATAATCACGAATACCCAAGGAACAAAACAAATTAGGATCGACATAAACATTGAAACAGTTTGGTGACATCAACTTCTCATCTTATGATGTTCTACCCACAGTTTTACCTTGTTAAAAATATGGTTTGCGCAATCTCAAAGTTAAGCTGAATATCGTTGCAACAAACATAAAGTTTGTAATTCCTTGAAAAAGTAAAAATCCAAGTTGATTGCTCAAATATTCTTGAATTTGAACAAAGTTATTCTCAACTGATTTTGTTATGATTAGCTCATGAAAGTGTTCGATTTTTTTCTCTTTCTCGTTTTTTGGAACGAGAATTCGTGAGATAAATCAACTTCACATCATTGCCAAATGGTCACCGAATACAGAGCACAAAAGCATTTGACAGGAATACCCAAGAACATAAGTCACTCCTGTGCTCCATATGAAACGCTCATTGGTGAAAGGATATAAGTCATACAACTGAAGTTTCGAGATGATGATATAAACATGTCTCTAGCAGAAACTGAGTGGAAAACATTTGTTTTTTCGCAGATGAATTCTCGTTCATGATGGTAACAATCATATCGTGTTTGTTGATTGATCATGACATGAGGAGAAAATATGTATTTTGCAAATCAATTGCTCTGACTTACATTCTTCCACAAATTAATGGAAAGAAAAATATTTTTGAATCATCGTTCTTCATTTCATTCCATCGAAAATTGCAACCTATCGACAACATCATTTCAATCCAAAAAACTCAAATCTGGTGGTATAAACGAAATGAACAAATCAAATAACAAAAAAATAACTTACATTTCCCAACATGAAAATAAAATCCGATATCACTAACTTTCTTGTTCAGTGGTTGGCCAACCGATTGATTTTTTGTCTGTAGGTTAATCGAGGAGGTTTTATATTCATTTTACTTGATTCTTTGGGATTTTCTCTCCTCGTTTTTATTAAATAAAAATATTCGTATTTTTTTAATATATTTGTAGTGGGACAAATCACATGATTATTTGCCCCATAATGTCACTGCGTTTAACAAATTTTTCTATCAGGGAGTCTAAAAGAAAAATCCAGTAGCTTGTCAGTGACAATTTGTTTGAAAAAATGTTTGAAGGGGAGAAATATAGATATATTGAAAAAATATAGATTTTTTACTTACTTTTGGATGTTTCGGGACCGAATCTGCTCCTGTTCTCAACATATAAATGCAAAATATTTTTCTTCGAAATTTCTGCTGCTTATAGTTAGACACTTTTCAGTGTCATACTGATGTTGGCATATGAATGAGTCATTTGAGTCTACAAATGAGTTACAGGATGTTTTCATTTAATGATCTTGAATACTTGAATCTACCATTTTCATGTTTAGTTTTCAGTAGATATAGATAGAACATGGTACCTATTCGAAAATTATTAAGAAAGGCAAATTGATATACTTCAGTTCATTTTCCGAAACATTTCAACTTGCATCTTGAAAAAATGTGATTTCGGATAGAAAAACCCTTGCAGTATATCATCATCCTTTATACATACATACTTGCATGGCTCTCCTTTCACCTCTCCTGGAAACAGTTTGCATCGGTAATTTCTATAAGGTTGTTTACACACTCTACGTCTCTCAATTCTCACTGCTTGCTATTCATATGTGTTCCTGCTACCCATTCCTCCTTTTTTGAAATAATATACCCACTATCACTCATATTGAATAAAATAATAATATTCATTCGGAATATAACCTCAACATTATATAGCTCTCAGAGTTATGCTGAATATGAAGGAAACACGAAATATACTTATATCCTTTCGTTAACAAACGTGATTTTCTGGTAGTAGTGACTTGATTGATTGATTGATTGATTGATTGATATGCTTTATTGTCCAAAGAGTATATCTTATTGACAAAGTCACAATTTCCTAAAACTACAAATATATATTATCTATGTATTTTTTTAAACACAGTGTCACACATCCATATGCACAATAATTATTATCACAGTGAGGAAAATGAAAAAAAGATACATCATCAATATCACAGAATAAAACCATTCTCTAAAAAATTCTTGTAGACTATAATACGGTCTTTCACTGAGGAATTCTCTCACGGCCTTCCTGAAATGAGCATTATCCGTGGTTTTCAGATAATTTGGTAGGTGATTATACATTTTTAGACCATTGTATATGACTGAGTCCTTAACGAGGGTTGAGGTGGGTATAGGCAGTTTGAGGTGATTTGTTTGGCGGGTAATATAATGAGAATTTGAACTCGAAAATGTCTTTTTATGTTTATTGATAAGGCAAACCGTTTCTAATATGAAAATGGCATAAAACGTCAGGATTTTATCTTTAATGAATAAAGGTTTGCAAGAGACTCGTGGTTTGACCTTATTTGAGTATCTTATCGCTCTCTTTTGTAAAATAAAAACTGGCTTCAAATGAGTATCAGCACAAACTCCCCAGAAAGGTATTCCATATCTCAAGTGTGATTCTATCAATGAAAAATATACACACACTACACTGTTTTACCACTAACCAAACCGATTTTTTAACGCCTCGACACGTGTTTCGCTAACTATGTTAGCATCTTCAGTTTGAGTTTTAATCTTCTCCTGAAGATGCTAACATAGTTAGCGAAACACGTGTCGAGGCGTTAAAAAATCGGTTTGGTTAGTGGTAAAATAGTGTAGTGTATTATCGTGCCAAAGGTTCCAGTCTTCGATATAGAAAAATATACAGTTTTTGCTGCAGAAGATCCTAGTTCACTAGATGTTATCCTAACAGCATAACAACCGGAAGAAAGTTTTTTATGGAGCGTTGCGATATGGTCTTCGAATTTCAGTTTATTGTCTATTGATACCCCAAGAAATTTTGTGCATATTTTGTTCGTGATCACACTGTCATTCGTGCCTAAAGGTATGTCGTCTATACTACAACGGAAGGATACTACATTGGTTTTGGATATATTGAATGATAAAAGATTACAATCACACCACTCTTTGATCTTTTGAATGTCTGAACAAATGGAATTATGAAGATCGCTTGCATTATTTGCACGCCATAGTATTGTAGTATCGTCCGCGAATAGAGTGAATCTTCCTTTGATATCAATAGATGTCAGATCATTAATGTATAACAAAAAAAGCATCGGTCCCAGTACTGATCCTTGAGTTACTCCAGTATTGATTTCAGCTACATCCGACTGAGTAATAGTTTTAACAATTTGGCTTATACCTGTTATGTATGATTTGAACCATTTGTGAGTGTTCTGTTCTGTTGCATCTGTTCATTAGTAAATGAAAGATATATCTTCAAAGAACAAGAATTCATCATAATCTCAGTTTACGTCACCCTTTCAAGAAAAACATAATTTTTCCTGGCAATATACATCTATTGAACATTCACAATGAGAATTTGAAAATTTACTGCCTTGGATGATTAAGCAATTGCGTATTCACTTTGATTCGCAATAACCTTTCCGATCTACTAGCCAGAAATTCCTACATTTTTGTGCTAATAATTTCTATCAATATTGTAATAAAGATTTCTGAACCGTGTGACCGATTTCATTTTATCCCATGGAGTGCACCAAAAGAAATTTCTATAATGTTCTTGGAACATTCTGCGTACCCAGAGAAGATAGGGAAAGGGTGTTGAAATTTGTTCGAACCCTCGGAGGATGAAAGTTCTTGGGAATACTTCCGTTGGCAAGGAATTCCAAGGCTTTGCCGTTCTATAGACTTGGTAGAGTGTTGTTCGACATTTTTCAAGGTTAATGACGAAGGGATATGCTGACTGGGCCTGTCAAGTTCGTCTTACTGGTATTGCTGGTGATGTAATTATAGCAGAGATTTCTGAGAGACATTTATCATGGAAGTATCTAAAGTCGCCGACTTTTCGCCAGTGTTTTGATGAGATCACAGAGTTGGTGAGTGTGGCATCACCCATCAGGCGATTGGCTCTTTTCTAGATATAATCTAAAAACATTAGCGTATGTTCGGACCCCATACATGAGAACAGTATTCTTAAACTGGCCGTATTTGTGCTTTGTAGAATCTTTTGGGTAGTAAGGTAGATTTTCGAACGGATCAACAATCCGAGCTTTTGTGAAGCATCTTCTGCGATAGATCGGACATGATTTCTTCTTAAGAGAGTATTGCTGTGGTGATACCAAGCATAGATATAGTGGTCTTGGTGGGAATAGTGGTTGTTATATCAGGCATACTGAGTTCCGCCTTTGTAGAGAAAATACAGTCTTGAGTTCTGGTGGCGGTAGATTCAACTAGATTGTTGGTTCCCCAGGAGGTAATTTCTCATCTCTCAAGATCTACACTCACAGCGTTGTCCTGCCTCCGTAAGTTCTTAGTCTCTTGGAAGTAAATGTTAGTTCTAATAGAGAACGCAGTATGGAGAGTACTCTCGTGTTCAAAACTGTAGATAGGGCAAGCGGTTGCTTCCGATAGATCGTTGATATGAAGTAGGAACAATGTTGGTGTCGAAATTGATACTTGTGGAAAGCCAGAATAAAGCATGAGATAGCTTTTAAAATGCATTGGTTGTTATTTTCTACTTTTTTGTTAGTTCCTGAGATAATTTTTTTTATAGAGGAAACATAAGAAATATAACAGGAAGCCCATGCCACCCACAGTGAGTTCTATTGAAGAAACTGTTGAGGACACGAATGAGGATGACAACAAAGCACTCCCTCCTCTTCTTGCTGGTCAAGATATAATAGATAACAGAGTGCCAATGATTGGTGAGTACATGCATTGAGCTGATGAAATATTCTCACGCTTAAATTAATTTTGAAGACATGAGAATATGAAATATCTTGGAAATGTTTTCGATTTATAAAAGATCGAATATCTTGTGGATTCAAAACAATGTCTTCATCTATGAAGACATAATATGACAATTCTAATAATTTCATCCACGAAGATGTGAACATGTACAATTGATATAAATATAAAGGAGTTGTGAACAGAATATACTCTAAAAGTGATACACTCGTTATTGATTATACTTCGTGAACTAGTGAGAATAGACTCTCGTAGGTTTCTCTTGAAGCCAGATTTATTCAAGATATTTTTTTTATATTTTCTGCTACTATATTGTATAGTTCAGAAGCAAAGAGTATGATCATGGTGAAATATTCTCTAACATCAATAGTGCAGCGTGATGATTTTCACGACGTGTATTATGATCATGGTGTGATATTTGGTTACGTATTTTGTTCACGTGGTATCTTTTGCTAACCTGGAATTTAGTTATTACAAATCTAGTAACTATCTGGCATTTTTCATTTTCCTCCAGTGATTTGAATGAAAAATAATAGCTTTATCGTCAGCAAACCTGACCATACTACCTACGCTGAAAACCCGTGTATACTAGGTGTAAGTGAATAGGTGCAGCAAACTTCAGAGGGTAGTTGCCTGTTATATTTAAGGATATAAAGTTCATATAAACATGTTTTTTAACTTGCTTTGTTTTTGAGATACAAGATGTTGCAGTTGGAAGTATTATCTGTTTCCATTCTTTTCCCTCTGTGTGAGCTTCTAAGGTGCAAAATTTGGTATGATTGAAGACTGACAAAGCCAAACAATTCCAAATTGATTCTTATTTAGGTTATTGAATAATCTTGTTGAGTGTCTTGAAAGCATCTACATCAAAATTTTGAGTCATATCAAATTTTTATTGTTTCCTCAAAAACTCAGCGAGGTACTGAAGTGACACAAAATTTCATTCACATTGTATTATTTGATAAAAATATATAACACAGAAGAAACAGTGACGTACAATGATTTTCACTATAATTATCGATAAATTAACCCACTGAGACGCCACTGGAGAGATGATTCGGAATCTTTTTACACAAAAAATTGGCAAAACCACCAAGTTTCATCAAAATTGATGAAAATATATTCGAGTAATGGTTAGACACGCTTCACTATCATTCAACGATTTTGTTATTCCCCTAGTTCCCTGTTGATTTTACTTCTCTAAGTGTGTACTATTGATCTCATGGTGGGAATATAATTTGCTGTGGTACTCACGTATTTTGAATAATTCGTCTCTCCTGCGCATAACGTCATTGCGAGTCTATACTCGATATTGAAGGTATCACGGACTCGAGCGAATTGATGACAGTGAGCATTGCGATCAATTGTTTCACTCGCAATTACAGTCGAATTTTAAAAAAAACGTACATGTATATTACAGAGAGAAATTAATGCCATCCTATTAAGCGTGAAACGGGTTATTGGAAATGATTGTTTACCAAATGTTGACAGTGAAGTTGTCGATAAGTTCTTAAAAACACAAAGCATTGGCTGTGAGCACAGTTTTACACAACTAGAACTAGGATGACGAAAACCACTCTTGGAAGACTTGTACGCTTTTTTATTGAATACGACTGTACGTATACGAAGATGCGTCGTAGCACACCACACCATTGTATTTCCAGCTTGGTTGATCTGATATCATTTCATATTCATTCAGATATGGTTAAAGCGAATTGTTTATTATTCCTTATTCTTGCGAAATGAGATATATACCGGTAATTAGTCATTTCGTTCATACAACATTATTTGCACAATGGGGTTATAATTGAATAACTTGTTTATTTCACTACAACTGGAAGAATATTACACATATCAGATATCGTGAAATCTAACGCAAATCAGTTGATATCACGGTCTTTGAGTTCTGTGCATATCACTCTTCTAGCGACAAGTCATTTGATGATTCCGATTGTGACGATAGCAATAACTGAAGAGAGTGTGGGTGAGAAAAGAGTTTCATTATATAACTCTATGAATGATACTTGAGATCGTATTGGGCATGTACCTCTTTGAACAAAGAGCTTAAATTTTGTGAATATTTATCTGTATGCTCTAGTGCTGTATCAATATTGATCTTCTGAGGATACCATAGCAAGCATAGTATCCTCACATATTTATTTCACTTCGTGTTTTGTTCAACTGGGATATTCTCAGTATTATGACTTGTACCAGAGTATAACCCCAAGATCCATTTGTTTTTTATGCATAGGAATAAACGAAGCTTTGAGGCAATGTTGGAGAGTTTGTATGAAATATCGAATTGCTGCAAATTTAGATGTCCTATGACTACACCTTCAAGAGCACCATTGCGGAACTTGAACTTGAATATACTCCATGAATGAATGGGAGAGGAAATCAATAAATCAATCAATCAAGCCACTTCCAAGAAATAATACAATCTCTATGGGGAGGCTCCTGCAAAAGCTTCTTATGTCACGTACCAACCTACTTACACCCGCTGGACGAGAATATCCACCGGCTAGCCTAGATGATGGTTTGGAACGAGGATGTACATGACTAGGAGAGCGAGTGCCGTACATCTATGCTCTCTGCCTCCTTATCATTTCTTTCTCTAAGGTTCCGGGACGACCCTACGAACCCTCGACGGAGTCGGCCACAACCGCGAACTATCCAGCGTGGCGTGGCAATCTTTTCAGACCACTTCTCGTTCCGTATCCTCACCTGCCAATGTCTGGCATTCATCATCCGGAGTATGATGCTGATCCGCCCACCTCAGACAGTCATTTCTCGTTGTTTTCTGCCTCGCTCCGACCAGACAGTCGACATCATCTACTTGATGGGTAGCAACTAGCATCCCGCATACACCATTCAGCGCCAGTATTCCGTAGTTTCGGGTATATCCTATGACCTTATTAGGCCCAGCGCCATCCATTATCTTGCTTGGCTGCAGCCCTGCGGCGGCCCATCGCAGAAAATCTTCGCTGGGGCTACTAGCGTTGCTATTGGGTTGTCGACATTTAGATTGGTCGGCACCCGAGTAGAAGACCTACTAGGCGCTCTAGATCTTTCGCCATCATGTTGTTGGCCATCTAGGACATCCTATACTCCTATGTCATCTCCCGTATCAACCCTCTTAGGCTTCTTAATACGTGTTCTTTCTCCTAGTCTCTCCAGGAGGTCATTTCCAAGGTGTCTTCTATATTGACCCTTATAGAGCTCTCGACATCAGACACCCTTGGTGCGCACCGGCTTAACTCTTTTGCTTCAAGCAAATTCACTTCGGTTGTCTCACCAACCATCGGTTGATCTTCCTGACACCGACTTCAGCTGGGCGACCTCTCTAGGGTACTAGACTCAGAGATCCGACTGTCCTTTCCTACCTGCTCCTCCAACCTCTGGTATTCCAGGCCTGGCTGCTAGTCTTCCTTTCAGGCCCCGCCTGTTCACTTCCGGCCATCGACATAGTACGAGGAATCATGCCGTGGACTTGGATAATGGCCTTGTATCGAAAATCCTTCTGGCCCAAACAACCCCTTAGCTCCAACCAATCACACTCCTGGTCTCTTTGGGCGAGACGCTGACTACTTCCTTTGCAGTCAACCGGGGCCTCCCCAGTTCACGCAGTCTGCCTCATCCAGTAGAGAGTGGCCATAGCTCGTTTCCCAAGCGTTGTGCAGACTTAGTAAGTCGATGTCTTACCCACCCTGTGCAGCAAACAGGAATCCCAATGATAAGTTTAAAATAGTTCGTTACACCCTAGTTAACACAAAATCATCTCAGAGATGTTCGTAGGCTTCACTTTCATTGTAGTGGTCGACAGAGTTTCATCTGACTCTCTCACCATGAATGCTGGTGTCCCGCAAGGATCAATTCTAGCACCAACACTATTTCTACTCCATATCAACGATTTGTGGGAAGCAACTTTATGTCCAGTACACAGCTTCGCGGATGATGATACCCTCCATACCGCCTTCTCTTCCAGGGCTCCAATACCAGTCAGACAAATCAGATATGAACGAGGGAGAAATGTTGACTACATAAATAGACTTATTGGCAACAATTCTGGAGTGGGGATCCAATAACTTGGTAAATTTCAATGCAAACGAAACACAAGCATGTCTTTTCTCTGGATAAGCCGATCTCACTGTGCCAAACATAAGCATATCAGGAGTAACCATACCTTTGAAGACATCCATTTCGATGCTTGGTAATACTATCAGCAATAACCTTTCTTGGGAAAATCACGTGAGATAAATTGCTAAAAGTGCATTCCAAGAACTAGATTATCTGTTTCGGGCCAGGAGCTATTCCACTTCCTATAAGGCACAGATCCGACCTGTCCTGAAATACTGTTCCAATATTTGGAGTGCGGCACCCAAACATACCCTGAAACTGTTGGATTCTGTCCAAAAAAGGACAATTCGTCTCGTGAGTGATGCCTCACTCATAAACTCACTCACTTCTCTGAAACACCGTAGAAAAGTTGGCAATCTGGTTTTATTTTATAGATATTTTTATTATCAACAATTGTACCTCCCTTGGCAGTCCCCGCAAGATCAACCCGTCGTGTTGAGGCTTCGCACCCCTTCGTGGTCACTTTGGAGACCTGCAGAACATCTCTTTCCAAACACTCGTTCATCCAACGAACAGCGAGGCTCTTGAATACATTGCCAAGGGAGGTGTTTCCCGAGGCATATAACCTCCAGAAATTTGAGAAGAACACAATTCCTACCTTATTTCCCTTGGTTATCACGATGTTCTGTGAACATTACAGCATAATCCTTTTCGTGGGAACCAGAACATAAAAAAAAATACTGAGAAGTTGTTGATTCACTGTTATACGGTGGTATTTTCACGTCCTGATATCACTCTTGCGGTGGGAAGAGTTTGATGATTCATGGAAAACCCAAGTTAAAGTTCTGTTACGCCAGTAAGAAGAATGTATACTTCGATAAAAGATTGAAGTTAGGTATTCGATATGTTTCTTCATAATATTACTCCAAGTCTAAAGTTCAAGCAAACTCTGATTTTTTTATAGACTGATTTATAGAAGTCTACTTCAGGTATGTCTCCATGCTAAGAGGATCACAAATATCATCGAGATGTCATCGACGTGTTGTTGCGCTTTCAACCACCTTAGCTGACTAAACCGCAGCTTGTGAAGGTACAAAAGTGTTTGCTGGGTTGTGAAAACTCTTGAAAGATGAAAAAATTTAAAACAAAAAACAGAGTGCTATTCAACTTATTTGAAAATATGAGATGAAAAGGATATCGATGTGAAATTTCACTATATTCAGGAAGAGGGCGGTATGAAGATGATTGATGATGAAGTTTTCGTTCGGAAAGAACTGCGTTGAATCGACTTGTTTTTAAACCCTCTACTGAAACCAAATTCGAGCCCAACGCTGATGTTTTGAGAATTTTTACTGAAAACAAGATTGGAAGTCTTTGGTAGAAATCCATATTGCTCAAAGTGGAGTGAAATATTTCACAGGAAGGAAGGAATGCTCAAAGTCATCTCCACAAATTTCAATGATGTTATTACATCATAAGGGACATGTTTCGGTCTTATAAAAGATCATCTTCAGCCTAATTGGAAGGTTTGGAATTGAAAAAATGTGTTGATGCTACTGTTTATTTGTGGAGATGACTTCGAGCATTCCTTCCTGTGGAAGATTGGAATTGAATAAAAACGAAGGAGATTGAAGTTGTTTTTCATTTTTGTGCTTTTATGTATATGTTTATAGTGATTAATGTAAGATTGTTCAACAATTCGTTCTTTGCCTATAATCATTATTTTCAGTATGTCCTACATAATTTAACTATTTTTCAGTATCTAATAGCCACTACCATGTGGAAGCACATTATCGGTTAATCTTCTCGTGATATGGCTACTCATATTTCATTATTCGAAATCCATCATCACCTTGAACCAAGATGAGCCTTGATATTTCGGAATAATGTTTATTTTTATATTCTCAGTTGTAATACTATGAGTACTTCAAAATATTCGAGCTATGCATCTATACCTTGCCGCATAATTAAAGAGACTGTCAGTTTGACTGGTAAACTGAGACGATTTGTTATTATGCGATTATTATTTGAGTATCTCTGAACGAAAGTCAACATTTTACGACACGCTTTGTTTGTATGTAACATTATAAATTGGTTACTATGGATATAATTCTAAATTTCTGATTGGCGGAGTTACTCTATGTAAATTCAAGTACATTCGAAATTATACAAGATAGCTTAACTCAATTGAATGTGTTGATTGGTTCAAAACCATACGAACAGAATAATCACTAGAATATTGACACAAGCGTGTGATCCAACTTTTCTTTTTCAGATCCGTGTTTGCAAGTTCACTGCGGCGCTGGCAGAATATGTCAGGTGGATGAAGAAGGCGAGCCCCAGTGCGTCTGCATCCCGACATGTCCAGTCGAGACCGAGTCGCGTAGAAAAGTTTGCTCGAACTTCAACGAAACTTGGTCCTCAGATTGCGCCATCTATCAGCAACGCTGTTTGTGCAACAAAGACGACGCTCAATGCAAAGGGGCGCAATACAAACACGTCCACATCGAATATTATGGCGAATGTCGTCAAATGCGGGTAAGAGCAATAATGTTCCTAGGTATATCTGAGGGAACCTCAACTTCGTGTAACAGTGAAGCTAGAATATCCCAATGGAAAAAGGCACCAGATTTGGCACAGAGGTAGACCGATATAGTATGAACAGATTTGCTCCCTAGTGGTCGTGATGGAAATTTTCCAAAATGGTCAACCGGAAGACATCTGCAAATAGATTAAGTTTGCTCAGTTATTTACGTGCTGTGGAAAATTAGTATTGCTCTATTCGAATGAGAGATAGAGAAAAATTTTGTGGGGATGTAGTATGTTGGATGCAGTATGTTGGATCTACGAAGGAGAAATATTCTGATCCCTACATGATGTTTTTCAGACACAGGGCTACAAGATTAACGATTCTTTTGAATAGTGTATTTTTTTATTCACATATTTTAGTTTATGGTTATCTTGTCTACACGACTCTGCAGGTTCTGCAGTTCGTTCGCAGCGTTGCTGAGTTAATTATAATTATTCCGAAAACACATATGTTGATTCCAACGTGACTGTTGATTTTCGTTTTCGAAATTTCCATCATCGCCCCACTGAGGTCTTAATTGAAGGTCATCTTGAGTGGAATTCCTCGAACAGTTATAACTTCGTTATTTCAAACGGCACACCCCCTTTCACTAGAAATTCATTCTTATTTCCATTACCTTTCATCTGAAACTATATTTTTTACATGAGTGGTATGTGTTACGTATTTTTCGAGGAACATATAAGCCTTTTACTCGAATTTTCTCCTTTATTCTGTACTGAACCAAACAATCATCGATAATTGCTGCAATTTCAACTCGAAGACATGTTTTTCCACTAGTTTTGACATATGTGGCAATAATTGTTCAACAATAGTATGTCAAGTTCCAGGTGAGTTGATGAAGTTCACATGATTTTGATTATTACTATGAATAGTTTGTAAGTTTCGTTTCAGAAGAAGAATTAACATATATGCTAATGCTTTCTTCTATCTTCTATCTTCAGAACAATGTCGAAATCTTTCAAACTCTTTGAGCTTCGTGGTGATAGAGCAGAAACAATACAGTCTACCTCTGGCCGAACAGCAAGAACAAAAATAGACTGGTCACACTGCAAAATTGTATAATACTATGAGTACTATATCAAATATAACTATACTACAAAATAGTATGACACTCATAGTATAGTATGATACAATTTTGTTGTGGTGTGTTCAATGGGGCCGGCGTTGACCGCTTCATCAGTATCTCTGGAGAATCGAACGAAAGAGGTCCCAAAGCAGTTGACTGTTTTCCACAAAACTATAGAGAGGACCCACCCGTCAACAGCAACATCAGAAACAAACAGGTACCGGTTCCCAACATGAAATCCCTGAGTGGCAACAGCGGCCTCAAGCAACATATTGAAACGAAGTTTTCCTGGCTACGACACGCCCAACAAGCCGTACAAGGAAGTTCTCTTTTAAAATACACTTCATGGGCTGCATACGACGCAAGTCTGCAGTCCACTACCGTCAGTCGGGCTATTTGTCTCACGGCACTACTCTAACTCTTTCTGGAGAATGCTCATACTGTCACTATTGATGTTGTCAGGAACTCAGTGGAACATTTTAACACTGGCCCAATTCCAGTGGTCACATTCGACCAACCACTTTTTGCCCTAAGAAAGCAAATCCAGTGGAAGTGGCCACAAGGGTACCGTGAAACAGAGTTCGCCATTCTCTCCGGAAGTGTTTATATCAAGATAGCTGCGCTGAAGACCATTGGTAACTTGAATGCAAGCCCTAGTTGAGGCAGAGATCACCAGTGCCGGGACTGCGGATTCCTTCCTGCGGGCATCATATAGCACTCGGACTAGGAGAGCACATCAAGTGATAGCAGCAGCCCGGGTGACGACGGTACCGACCAGTTGGAGTTCGCTGAATGGTGTCAACAAAAGGCGGGGACTTGCCTCCAGTTCCACTACTGTGCAACTGTGCTAGAACTGGAGTTGACGATTTCAGTGTACGTGTGCTCCTTGCACCAAGCGTTGTTTGCGACCTACGTTGATGTCCTCAGAGGAATTTCAGTATGGTTTAATGCTCCAGATCACACCAACCGGATTCCTGTGCAACTGCGAGTCATGATGGATTTGCCAAAGGCACACCCTCAAATAGCCGATGAGTTCCGAGCAGTGGAATTTAACTGTCCAGAAGACGAATAGGCTGTTCTTCGCCATCCCCATCGATCAGGCACACGAACAAAACAATGCATCTATGAACGGAGACGGAGGGGGCTGGTTAGTGGCAGCACCAGAGGTTGTCAGACTCATCGAAGGGCACCAGTACTCTGACCAAAACCAGTCACAAGATAAAAAGCATCATGAACAGTTAGCGAGTTTGCAGATTGATTTTCATATAGACGTACAGTCAATGATCAAAGTGATGGAATACTTCAGAAATCCATTCGTAGAGATAGTCAAGATCTGTTGGTACTCGAAACTAAGGAGATTTCACCACCTCGATCTGTAGACGACCTCTGTCGTGCATATATCGTGGGACGAGTGCAGTTAGATACCTTCGTCAGAAAATGCCTAGTCAAGAGAACAAAACCCATTCAAGATCCTATCAAAAGGAATAAGCTCAAATTATTCGGTCAACTTGCTAGAAAACTCCAGCCCGAAGGAAAGCAGTAAATGGAATCTTTCAGGAATAACGTGAATATTTTCTCTTCCCTGAGTTTCCTCCAACTAGATGCATTGTCCTAGATGAAGCTTGCATCAAAGACCTACCGACATTGTACTATATGTACATATATGCCCAAGAAGATTAATATAGGAATTCCTCACAGAACGACACCTGGTATATAACTTATGGAAATACATATTTTCATTCAAAAAATTGGATGAATTATGCAGAAACTTTCAACAGACAACTTTATCTAACTACTGATGTCAGTTGTCCGATGGCTCCATATCCAAATCTGTTTATATTATATCGGTCTATATCTGTGCTAGGTTTGGTGCCTTTATCAAAAAGTGCAATATACTTCAACTAATCTGGAACATTTACTTGAAGCTGTTTTGAGAAACTTGATGTTGCCAGATTTGTTAATTATTTTTTCATGTAGAAGAGGTAAGAACATGCTCATTCCACAATTAATTCAAATATAATAGGGATTTCTCACAGTGCGCCCCAAGATAGAAATATATATAAATATCTTGGTTATCTAACATACAAAATTCAGAAAATTGTGGTATCTATGTGTGCAAAAGATCTTCGAAATAGTGTGATCAAATCATTCTCCTGTCAAACAATCTAATAGAAACTACCCTTTAATTTGGTTTTGCAATTGCATGTTTTTATCGGTTCATCTTATAGAACTTCTGAACGATCAATATAGCGTTATGTATATATGTATCAAGGAGAATTGAATATAAAGGGTGATCCACGTTTGAGTTATGATATTTGTGAATATTTTTTCCATTCACCTTTTGAAATCTCTATATTACACATATAGTTTGTGTACAGTGCTCTCGTAAAGTAGAGGATATATTCATATTTATTCAGACTATTCATTTGCTAGGAATCTTCAGAAACAGGTGGATTTTCATTCACAATTCGCCACATTCATGAGGGAGAATAAAATATACAGGGTGATTCACGTTTGGCTTAAGACGCCCCTGGTGTAAGAAGGGTGGACTCTGATGAAGATACTCTATCCTCGAAATAAACTGATTAAATTACACCTGTCTTAGGTCCACCTTCTTAATAATATTTATTTCCTTCATCTACTGATTTTCTTTGCCGAACGAGACAGGTTAGGCAAGTAAGGTCCAATAAGAATACGCTTGAGTTGGCTCGTAAACATTATCAAAAAATTCCACTTACCTTTCGACTCTCAGAAGGGGTGACAGCTCTCTGGGCTCAGCTATCGCTTCTGCGGGCTATCGATTACCTCGAACCTTCACACGTATAAACACTTATCTGGTAACTTTTTTGCCTTTATTGTATTATATTATCAACTTTTGACTTATATCAGAAGAACTTTCATCAAATTTACTTTATTGTTCACTTCTGGAAGAGAAGTGAGTAAGTTCAGCAATAAAAGAATAAATAAAACCTCAACGATATATTTAATAATAATCAAAATAAACAAATAATGAAAAGACAAGTAAAGAAAATATGACTCGATGAGGAAATGGCTCCTATATAGCAAAGCAAATAAATGAACAAGAAATAATGATGATGATTACAGCTATCCTGAGTGAGTTGAAATCTATCTAACTAATTATCTTAGCCAGTCAAAAGGAAGTTAATGGTTTAAAAATGTATTTCACTTTAAAATTTAAATATTCTAAGCAGTACGGAAGGTACTAACCTAGTTGAGTCCAGACTCTGAAAACTCAATGAAATTTACAAGATTCTAATGAATACCAGAAGGGAACTTTATCAATTTCAGAAAAAATACAATCTTTGAGAGATTTACCAGACACAGAATTCACGCACCAGAACACTAGGCAAGCAGGATGAAATTCAAAATTGAACTAACTTTAAGATTTTTCTAAAATCCCTATCTGACTCTAATTTCGTCTGTTCATTCCCGTTATGGGTGGAAACTTGACTTGGTTGGATGGTATCAACCAATCGTGATAGATTTTTCTCTCTAGGGGTGTATACTATTCCTTCCTTCTCTTTTGACCAGCTTCAGATACTTGACATACAAATAATTTATGTTTTCGCAACATGTGGGGACTTCTTCGAAATTCTTAAGTACCCTCTGCAGATATTCACAAAATAAAAATAAACTATATATGTTTCTCGAGAGCCCTCACTTTTGACGTGTTTATTATGCTACATAAATTGCCCTATTCAAAAGATAAACTCTCGAGTTTCCTAGCCTAAACTAATACCATTTCCTTGAAATAATAAATGTCAACTAATTGATGGGTATGCAAAAGATCGCTTCTCTTAAAATTATATTCACGACGTGTGGTTTCTATTCACATCTATAGGGAAAAAGGAAGTATCTCCAATAAAAAACCCTATACCAACACGACCTTTATGCTTAAACTAACAATACCTACTTGACATATCCTGGAGTACCCCATTCAATAAGACTTATTGATGCAGAGAGTGAAACTTTTACGATAGTTTTGGAATAGGAGCTGAACCACGGGTGGTCGAGAATTATGGTCAATAGGACACTATTAGCAGTTTATGATAGCTATATATTTCGAAATAGAAAAAATTAGGCATGAATTGAGTGTGGCCCTAGTTAAATTTAATGACCTCGATTTCACTTTCAGACCGATTTCTTGAAAATGAATTCTCAGTAATTTGAAATGGAAAAGATACAACTAATTTCATTTAATCATTAAAGTCCAATGGAAATCTATATTAAATTATGAATTGAATAATTCGCATTCTTACACTGGCAAGTTTTTCAAATGGAACACCCTATATATTATTCAATTTTTGAAATCCACATAAGGAATAGGATTCAAGGATTCATCACTCCTAGTGGGTTCGTGTGTCCGTTAAATCCATTGTTCTCGTAAAATGGGGGTTACCATTGAAAAAATACCGATGACGTAGTTTCCCATTCCTGAATCATTTTGTATACATCATTCGAATTTCCCGAATACATAGATCTAGTGTATTCAAATCTATGCCGAATATGAAGAGAATTCGACGGCGTCGAGCGTTCTTTCCAGATTTTTTTTTAAATTTTCGATTAATTCATCCACTATACTTCATGAAAGCACCTATTTTATCGAATGCAATGCATAGAAACCCTATTTGTAACATATTATTGAATCCAAATCCCATGGAGATTTCAAAAATTGAATGATATATACGGTGTAACATTTTAAAAAAATGGTCGCAGAAATCATCACTAGCGTGGATCATCCTTTATATTTAATTGTCTCTTATCAATGTGGGAAATTGAAGAGAAGATTCGACCTGTTTCAGGAAATTCCTCAAAAATGGATAGTTTGGCACTTACTGAATATAAAATATGCTTTATTTCACTAGAGCACTTAATTCAACGGAAACACAGTATACAAACCCTATGTGATATGTTTTTGAATTCAGCTTCCCATGGAGATCACTAAATTTCAATTATATATAGGGTGTTCTATTCGATGGAATTATCGCATACGTTATCACTCAAATCAGCCTGTAAGTTTAATTTTCCTCAGTAGATTCCTCAGAAATTGATAGTTTGGCTGAAAATGAATTCATTCAGTACAAAAGCATTACTATACTACCTCGTGTGATTGATATGGGGAAAGATGTGGATAATGAGGAAGATAGTGGAAAGTCTTTCTCACATCATTATCTTCATCTTTTCGGTTGAGTTACCGACCAAAATTTACGAATTCTATGAAGTACCTTCATCGCCATCCCATTTCCATGTTAACATGATTGGTTGTAGGAATGTACCAAAGAAGAAATGTCCGACTTCCCTCGCAGAATGCGTGACTGGCTTTTCAACATTATGAGGGATTTGGCTGATCGTCAGGAATTAACCCCGCACTACTTGACTATGGAACGCGAAGCCGAATCAAACATGACCCGTCGTTGGACCAACGCAGCTATCTGGAAATTCTGCGAACTCGACGGAAATCCGCCAGACCGGTGAGTACTGAGAGCAATGAGAATGATATACTAGTCTCAGAATATTTTGTTATCGCTCATGACTAAAGAGATGAACTTTCCACATTTTTGTCGGTAATGAAATTAACACTTAATTTATTACGGGAGATAATTCAAATATCGCAGGTGAACTTGTACAGGGTCATTCAACATAAACTTAGCCCAAATTTTATTCAGAGAACAGGTTTCTTGTAGAATTCACCAGGATACAAAGATTTTTCCCAAACAACTAGAGAATTTATGTCTGAAAGCAAAATCGGCGTTCTTATTCCTAAGAGAAATGCTCGACAATTTTTAGTTTCCATTTTGACAAAAATTATTTGTTTGCTGTATGAATGAGGTCGCCAAACAGAAAATAGTTCAAAGTATAATAACAAAAACACTTTATTTCAAACAATTAAACTTGCAAAAAATAGTGTATTCTCAAATTCTGTGGAAACATTATTAATGTCATTATATATTCGGCAATTCTTTGACGCAACACTCTAGTGATTCAGGCGACGTAGCGTATAATATCTCAAATGGCTACGCATAAATGAGCCCAAAGTTGTGAGAAAGGTTGATCTTGGTAGCCGTTCGACAGGACGTCTTTATTCAATGAAAGCTCAACTGATTTCCAAAAGCGACCAGTGTATCAGCCATGACAATTGAATCAGGAGATTTGTTGAAAGTAGGATATTTCCATTTGAAATATTGAAGTTGGAGTTGCGTTAGGTTAGGAGAATGAACACATCAAGTTGGCTCGACTGTTGAGGAATGACGAATCTCAGCGACTTTCCGAAAATTTTAGGTTCAATTATTTCAGAGGGGGTGAGTTTTCGTCTTCGTTCTTCATTTTCAGGAGGAAAAGAAAAATCGTACGAAACGAAGTAAAGAACAACAGTGAAATATACTCAATATATGATTTGATTATTTACTCATAAAGGAATAATAAAAGGACATAATGAGAAAATATTCATAGTTTCTCCTGGTGATATTTATCAAGACGAAATCTAACATCGAATCGTGATCATGTTTCTATCTACTTAGAATTCAATTTGTACGAGTGGAAGAGCTGCTGATGATATATCAGTGATATAGTCAGTGGAAATAACGTTATTCCGTTATATCAACGTTTCATTCCAACATTGAATAATGGTTGTGCATTGACACGAAGTGGAAATGAAATATTTGGATAACGTGTGGAATACTTGATTGTTTCAAATGAAGCGTTGGAGCTTCCAATTAGTAACAATCTTTTCATCATTCCCAACGCTGTTCAAGATCCAAAAAATAATGTGTTTCTACTGAGAATGATATATTGGAGACTAGGATCTTTGGCATGATGATAACAATATACTGGTTCACCACTAACCAAATCGATCTTCTAAGGTGTCGACACGTGTTTCGCTGTGTCAGGATCTTCAGGAAAAGAATAAAATTGATAATCTTCCCCCGATCATCTACAAGTTTTTCACTTCGTAATAGCTCTTGTCACCACGAAGCTTCAACTCAAATATCTCTTGAGTAGAATTCTATGTTCCATAATAAAAATACTTCCAGATATTCTCGATATTAAGTCAGTATAGATCAAATAATCAAAAGATGTCTTAAGATGTTCAATTTTTTTTATAGAAAGATGCATCAAAATTCTGAATCATTCTGTTATTGATTTTTTCAATCAAATTTACTTTCATCGATTATATGTGCTATGAGGTAAATACCTTAACTATTTCTGCCACACCCAACAAACATTTTTGGTATAATATACGTCATTTCGACCTGAGAATAGGTCAACGACTTATTTAGCGAAAGTAAATATAACGTATTATTTACCTCAAATTCACCAAAATGGAGAAAGAATGAGAGTAATTCAGAAGACGTTTCAAATACGATAACAATTCAGAGGATTGCGTGAAACAGAATATTTCAAAACGAAGAATAGAGATTGTGGCTGACCAAGAAGTTCGAGACCTCCTCAAATACTGTTACCGAAACATTCATCTGCTGTATCGAAGACTGGAACCTTTGGCACGATAATACATTACACACTCTTTTACCACTAACTATGTTAGCATCTCCAGGAGAAGATCAAAACTCTCTTCATCTGCTGGTATCATGTGATTACAGAAATCCAATTATCTCGGAAACTAACATTTTTTCGGATTTTGATATGAGTTCCCTTTTTTATATCAATATGGTGCCTTTTATCGCTCACTATATATTATGGGCCCATATGTGAATTTATCAAATTATGCTCATTTTTCAATTTTCAGAAATTTCGGTGTATACATTCTTGACTCATCCCGTAGAGTTGGCTCATCAAATTAAAATATATAACAGAAAATGGTGAACAAGAAAATCATTCATTTCACTTGATTGTTTGGGGTTTTCTAACCTCGTTTCTAGTTTTGGACGTTTCGGGAACGAATCTGCTCCCGTTCTCAACATAAAAATGCAAAATATGTTTCTTCAAAAATAATTGAAATTAGAACAGATTGTGTGAAGGAAAATATTCTGCATTTTTTGTTGAGAACGGCAGCAGATTCGTTCCCAAAACGTCTGAAGCTAAAAACAAGAAGAGAAAATCCCAAACAATCAAGTAAAATGAATGTTACACCTCCCCGATCCACCTACAGATGGTATTTAGGAAAATCATTGTTAAAATATCTAAGAGGAAATAACTACTTGCCTGGTGAATACCAAAGAATATTGAATTATACATATCTGTCAAATATTTGAAATAGAATACTCAAGGACTGTCGATATAGCAAAATTCACTAGCAAAAATGGAAACAAATCGATTGAATTTTAGCTGCAGACTCTCTTGAACGGCTCGAGATGAAATGATAAAATTATGTATGTTTACCTCACCTTTTATTTCAAAATCAGAATATGAACGGAATTTGAATATTTTATAGGATAGTGTATCGAACAAGGTCTGCTATTTGGACTTATTTATTTGTTGACAAATAGAAATTTTTGCAACACAATATATCGAACTGCAAATTGTGATATTTTTTCATTGAAAAATGTTTCCTATATGACCCCAATGAAAAGCTTTACTGAAAGTAATTTGCACATTGAATAAAATGTCAAAATTCAAGCATGGCTCAATCTTTCTTTATGCAGTTTTTCGTTCTGGTTTATTCTGATGCTAATTTGATCAATCGAATTGAAATCGTGAAAAAAACTGGTTGTTATTCACAGTATATTGGACAGAGTAGTGAAAGAGATACATATTGAAATCAGTGGAAAATCTAGGAATATAATAGCAATAGTTCATTCCTTTCAATATTCCTTCGATATTTGAGACGATTCGGAATTCTTCCATGTATATCAAAATAGATTTTCACTATGAAAGTATAGTGAAGTATTATATCACGAAATGAGATAAGGAAGAGTTTGATAACATATCGATTATCGTAAAATGCGTTTACGATACGAACCTACTACCAAGAATGCTAATTATTTAATAGAGAATAATTAATATTCCTTGGATTAATGATTTACTAGGAATATGTACTGAGCATGCTTTGCAATCTTTCGTGTTCTCGGTTTTGTCACTGATTCTGTAAACTGTCAAGTTTCACGCGCTCATTTTGATTTGAGAAAAAATGTATCGACGACATAAATTCCGAACACGAAAGTATAAGAAAATAGGAACTTCAGTAGCTGCTATATTCAGGATCAATCAAATATCATTTCTTCTTCTCGTAAAAAACTGTAATTTGAAATTTGTTTTTTTCACTTAACCACACTACTGCAATGAAGTAACACTTCACCGCATTAGTGTGGTGAAGTTTTCCATTACGAAGCTAAAATCCGTGTCGTATAGTTTCACATTATAGATTGGAGATAGATGAAAGAACTTTTTTGAATTTGCTAGAAATCTGAGATAATCGCTTTCTTTGAAAAATAATAATGATAATTCCCTGAATAAACAAACTCTCCTGCCTTGGTCTATAACTATGACATTCTATGATTTGAAATCTTTATCATTCAATGGTGTAGTTCTGCACAACTTATAGTTGATTGTTGATGCTGGCATACATAAAACGGATGGTTTTCTGGCGTACCTTTTTGCGCAAAATGGGGAACCCTGAGCTCGAAAGGCACATTCAAGATTTTCACAACATATATTTCCCTTTCCCCCCATTGGAAGTTGATAATTATTATGTACTTTTTGGTATATATTCATATCGAATACCTGACCATCATATATTGCTAAAATTGTCTCTTTCTCACACTATGAGGTTATTTCGGGTCTTTTAGGGCTGATGATGAACATGTCACATACGTTCGAAACATGTCCCTTATTTGATATTTTCGAATGTATCACCAATAACCCTTGCCATACAATATCCATCATTTTATATAATATTACTATTTTTCTTAAATATATACTGTTTTTCAATAGATCTGTATCCCGTCATGAACTCTTCCCGATAAGAGCACCTCTTATGGCTTTGGAACACTGCATCGCTCCATTTTTGAACACCTGCGATACTGACAACAATCATAGAATCAACATCAAGGAGTGGGCAAAATGTTTGGAATTAGATGAGGTAAGCGTTAGCGTTTCTTAATTCTATGGTAACCAAATTTATAAAAATGAGGTCGACATATCTTCAACGAACTCATGAATAATTTTGTATACTTATTTTTTGTTCGGATTCAAATATCACTAAGGATAGTATAATTCGATCATTTCCTTCTCTTTCTTTCATTCATGATTTTAACTATCCTATATATGATCAATTAGAGTTTCAGTATTTTCGGTTTTTCTTGCAGTCGAGTTGATGTATGATTTAGGTCCATTCTCATTGAATGTTTTCACGAACATATTTACTGCTGCTGAAAATAAATCTAATGAATCGAGATTCAAATAAATCAGTCACTTTGTAGTAAAAGAACCCTCTATTCCTAAACCTGTTTGCTTGATGAATTCAGCCCCATTTCCAGATGGATATGTTGAACAAGATCATGAGAATTCTGTGTTCCCAATAGGATTTCGAATCAAATTCTATTTATGTTTCAGGATGAAATCGAAGACAGATGTGAACAAATAACCGAGGAAGAGTAAATCTGCACTGAGACATCGATAAGTTTCAATCTTTTGCAGAATAGCTTGGTCTTTCGAATCAATGAGAGGCATTCTAATTATTATGTTATTCTCCGAACATGTTGATAATTCCTCACACTGCCACTAATTGATATTGATTCATGTATAAATGTATTTACTGTGAACTGTGAAAATATTTAATAAAATTACTCCACTTGAATAAACATAATACTTTGTTATATTCTCCATTGCATTGGTGTTTAAATTATTTGCATTAGTGTTTGAATCATTTTCTCGTTCATTCAAGGAGAAGAAGTTGTCAAAGAAATGTCATTTCCGTGGAAGGTGGAATATATCGGCTCCAGCATGCTTCCTTGATATACCTATATTGTAATGATTGAATAGATGGTTAGCCCATCTATTTCGATCTATGAGGTTCAATGCTCGGCTCAATAATTTGCGAGAGGTAATAGTCGAATAGGCACTAATAGTTTAGGGGTAACTGTAAGTACGAGACTATATTCAAAGATAACAATATTTATTATGACACGAAACATTATGAGCGAAGTGATGATTAATATAAAAGAATAACAATGAAAATAAAGACCTAATAACAACTTACATTATGATGACCATCACGACGAGTTCTTGTCTAGTCAAGAGTAGCCCCAGACCAGACTAACTTCGGAACCCTTACATCCAATATTTATATACATCATTTTATTAGACTTGCACGTTCCTCATGAGAGTTCCTTATTGG